TTAGTGCTTGTGTGTGTTGTAAATTAAAATATCAGTGTGTAAGTTTCACACTGATATTAAAATATCAGTGTGTAAGTTTCACAATTTCTCCTGCATACACATATAGATGCCACTGAATCATCAGAGGCATTTGACAAACAGTTGTCTTTGGCATACTCACTGCCAAGCAATATCATTCTCAGACTAGATAGATAAATCTTTTTTCTTCTTGGAAAAAACCACCACCAATATGACATTGATTGGAAACTTCATATTGTTTATCTCCTCCCAATTTAAAGGGGAAATAAACATTAGGAAATAATGCCAGAATTCAACTTTCATGGTTAAAGAAGAAGAAGAAGAAGAAGAAGCAGCTCCTGGTTTGGCCTGATCCTATTTCCTCTATTCAAAGAGAAATTCTAAAGTGAACCAGCCTTGCATAGAATAATGGAGAGCATGGCCCCTATTTTGTGCACATGGTACATAATATTTGCAATAAACCTGGGGTAAAAGCCAAATGTTACATATTAACATTAATATTTTCTTAAATGTTGCCTTATATTAGTGATTATCACTGAAAAAATACATATAACTGCATAGTTACCCCCTAAAGTCTAACTTTCTATACCTAACCAGTATAAAAGGGTACATATTACTGAAGATAGAAAAGAGAGAGCACCATGGGTAATATGAACTTTCAGTGACTTAACTGACATAGATGGGATAACTCCTTCTATTACCACCCTGTTTTCAAGAATTCTGGAGAGTGACATCTTTATGAAAACACTTGTTTCCTTTACATCAACACAAAGTTCTAAGAACTGCACTAGATGTTAGAAGGAGGCAAGAACTCTGTACCTAGAGAGGGAAAAATAAATGTCTAATCAATATATTGAGACAGCAAAAAAAAAAAAAAAAAAGGAAAGGAAAGAAAGGTAAGTTAGGAATGTCTAAGATCTGATCTCTTCACATTTAGTTCACAAATAATCAGAGGCACATACTCAGCCTTCATTTTGAGTTTTCCAGCCCACATATAGCCACAACTCATCATAAACTGATTCTGCTCCTTAGAGACAAGGGCCTTCTTCAAGTTGCTTCCTAAAAGCAGTGTACTCAGGCACCAATTCCAGGCACCAATTCCACCAGCACTGATTCACAAAGGGTCAGAACACTGATTACAGGTTCACCTCAAAAAAGAGATATTCTGGAAGGTTTTGGAGCCGGATAAGGTATTTGGGAAGTGAGGTCCCATTGCCAGCCCTTTAAAAGTTCTGAGAAAACTTCACAATCAAAAAATAAAAACATCTAAATGCCAGAGCCATCAGCAAAGAAGGTTAGTGCTATTTTCATTGTCAGCTAAGCAAAAAAAAAAAAAAAAAAAAAAAAAATGATAAGCTTATGGGGCAATTGAAAGGTTACATCTTTCTTTTGGAGGTGCTTTGCTTCTTAAAGGTTAACTTGAATGCTTGACTTTAAAAAATCAAAATCATCAGCTGCAAATGCTTAAAGCAGTTGGGGGTAGCTTTTGAAGAAGAAAACAAAGGATCTGAAATGTTTGAAAATTACTTAACCCCCATATAAATGGTGCTTGTATATTTATATGCTTACTCTATAAATGTACACACACATACCACAACTCATTTCTCTTCATTTCTCAAATATGATTGCTGTACTCAGACATATTTTGTTGACACAATATAACTTTTTAATAACTTGTTAGCTATTCTAATCATTTGAATACAATACTGTAGAAATATGAACCAGGACCTTTCTGCCTAAATCAAAATCTACAGCTACACAGAGAAACCAGTCATTTGCAGCATCTTCAGCTCCTGCTAAATAGGGTCTAACAATATATCTCGCTGTTCACATTCATGTATTTCAAAACCTAATAGCCCATGAAGAAAAGTATGAAGAATATATATCAAGAAACAAACATTAAAGGTACCAGCAAAATAATAGACTACATTTAAGTTTGAAGTATTATTTTAGGTGACCCACAACATTTATGACTTTTCCTTTGTGGTGGGTGTTGCAAAAGGAGGGATAAGGGGACTGGCATAAATGTTGGTTTCTATTATAAAAATTCCTTTCTTGGAAGTGAGATTATTCACAAATAGCAATAATACTATTTAAATGTTTTTTTTAATTACTTTCAAAGTCCAAGTAAAATATTTGAAATTTGAATAAATATTTAATTTTAAAAGCCATTTTTAAAATATCCTACTTAAAAGTAATACTTAAATATTATGTGATATTACAGTTAAAACTGCACCAGATATATAACAAATAAGGAGACAATTATATTGCCAAATTTGAAGTAAACTCATTTTAGGAGTGGTCAAAGAAAAATATATTCATTTACTATCTTCTTTAACACACTAAGAAATTTATAAAAGTATCATTGTTATTCATTTTATGATATTATTATCATTATACTCATATCAAGTTCCTAGACAATCTGATATCTAATGGAAAAATGAAGGATTATTAGTTAAGGTATTTATCTTTCCTAGAGAGAGGACTTATTTTTATCCTTCTTTCAATTTTACTCATTATTGGGGTTAATGTCTGGAGTCACATCAATTTCAAATCTCCAAAGCCAATAGAGATCAACTTTTGGAGTCACAAATTTTTGAAGCAATTTCAACTTTCTTAAATCTTGACAAAACTTGCAAGGTGGCGCTCTTCTTGTGAAAGGTGATATTTACCCTGACCACAATTAACATTTTTAAAAATTAAATAACCACCATCAACAACTTTGTCTAATGCACTACTGAAAGTACAGAAAATCCCTTTTCAGTAAATAATACTTTGTTGACTAAAAGTGACAAATATAAATAGAAAGTGATGAAAAGACAAGTCACCAAAGGATTTTTAAAGAGAATTTAACGTTTTTTGAATTGACTAATTTTGCCAGTTGATCAATTGTACATTTTGAAAAATTAATGTTACTTTAAAACAGATATGAGAACCTTAAGGGGTTCTCAAACTTTTAATGTATTTTTTTTCTCTTGTTTTCCTTCTCAGGGACAATGTGGCCTATGAATCCCTAAAGATCCATATTATAAAAGTAGATCTTTTATAAAATACTGGGTTTCTCTTTGCCCACAGAGAGGTCAGTTTCTGATTCCTGCTCTGGCACATCCACACCCTTGCAGCTACAGCTAAGGCCTGATTTGTGATCTTTGGCTATGTTGTCTGCTTAATGGGGCGATCATGCAAGCTACAACCAGAGACAAAGAAGCTTGCGTTCCTACCAGCGCAGCTAACTTCGAGGGTGCAGCATAGCTTGCAAATCTATCAAACTAAACTGCAAGAAAGACAATCTGATTTAGAGAAAAGGCGTTCTGCTACAGTCATTAAGCACAAGTAATTTAGATTTTTTGTATTGTCTCCTCATTTACAAATTTACTGTATCAACGCCAGCCAATGGAACGAATTTCTTAAGTAAATGAGAAATAAATAAAAGAGAAAGATAATCAAATTACATAAAATAATTCTCTTCTATAGATTATTTTTGAGAGAACTAATAGCAGTGGTAAAATTATAGGAATAATAGCATATCATAGGAAGTAATTAATTTAAATTAGCATCATGTTTGAAGAAATATAAGTAAAACGCTTTATGGACATTTACTTTTGTACAAAGGAGGAAGGCCTGGAAAAGCATGCATCGACATTCTGAAAATTAGTTATAGCCATAAATGGTTTAATTGAAGACAGCAATTTAAAATATGATATTGTAAATCTGTAAGTCGGTTTCAGCCCGGGGAATTTAATTTGGGGGACAGCAGAACCCTTGCTGCAAGTTCATTTGCAAAGCTGCAGAGCAAGCCCCTGAGCTTCTGACAATCCGCCCACATTAATATTGATGTCGCCTATGCAATCTATTTCTGTTATTTTTATGGTTGTTATTCTATGTCTGCAAAGGTCATTTAAATTATACTGCGGCCGAAAATTTGTTTCATAAATTTTTATATAAATACTAATTACACCCTCTCGGAGAGCCAGCAGGGTAGCGTTCATTTATCACGTTTATACGACCTGCGATGACAGAAAGAGAAGGCGAGGGAGACTGGTGAGCTTTTCCCGAGACCCACTAGGCTGGCAGAAGAGGCAGCAGGTTGCTGGGGGGTGAAGAAGAAATTCCTACTACAATCACTGAGATTTAAGAATCTTTAATAAGATACGAAAAGTTACCAAACAGTTCTGGAAACTAAAGTGTACATACGAGTTCTAGCCATAAATATTGAATAGCTGTAACATGGATAAACCAACCGGCCCTTTACATGCGGGTAAATATGGAAACTAGGAATTATATACATTATGTGGTTGTATCTTTTGCCAAAAGCAACGGACAGGTATAGTTTATATCTTTTTTAATATCACTTTACATAAACAAATGAAACAGTTTGACACGCAGATCCAGGCTCCTACTATACGTATTCTTGACAGGACGTGAAACAACATTTTACTGCACTAAAGTACTTAGACTTTGGGACGAATGTTTGCACTTTATACAAAAAAAAAAGCACATTTATACCAATAATATTCTGTTAGGTCGACGTGGAGACTGTAATCGTACAAAGTGATTCACATTTTGGTACACATTTACTAGAACATTCTTGCCATTCAGTACAAACAGTTGGCTTTTGGCCGTCCACCCTTCCCCCTCCCCCTCCCCCGCCCCTTCCCCTCCCCTAATGCAAAGACCACAACGCCAAGATCCCACCCGCCCGCTCCAACCGAGATACAACTATTTACAGAATCCAACAGTACAGTTTTAAGCTAATAATTCTGTATTTACAAAAATGCAAAGCCAAAAAAAGAAAAATGCCAAAGCCCAGAGAGCCTGTTCCGAGTCCGAATAGAAACTGGCCCTGGGGGTTGGCGGCATTTGGTCAAGAAGCCGCCTTTTCCTCAACCCCTCCCGCCCTTTGGCTACCAAGCCTTTGCAAAAAAAAAAAAAAAAAAAGGGGGGGGGTGGGGGAAGAAAATTAAAATGAACAAAATTAAGAGATTTGGTGCTTCCTCTCTCTTACTGGGTCCTGGGTCTATTGGCAGCTTTTTAAAAAATAGTATCGTGGGGAGGGGGCTGTTTGGATTCACAGGGATCTTTCAGTAATACTCTGTGTACGTGTGTGTTTGTGTTCAGTCTCTTAAATAGGGTTTTGTTCGGTGTTTTGTTTCTGCTTTTAAACGTACCATTCGTTAAAATTGGAAGAGAGCGCGCTGTGGCCGGCTGTGTGGTGGACTGCGGAGGACGAGGGCGACAGGGAGCTGGTGGTAGGGTTGTCTGTGGAGGGAGACACGATGGTGGGCGGAGTGGAGGACTCGTAGCCAGAGCTGGCTGCCGGCGAAGGCTGCGAGCCCTGCGAGGAGGATTCGTGGACCTGCGGGAATAAAGTCGCGTTTTTACGGAGATAAAGAGCCTGCGGGGCTACAGCTTAGGGTCCTGAAGGCCGCGCGCCGCCTTCCCGGGAGACCTGGATACCCTTGAACTCCAAGGAGGTTCGACGAGTGGGATTTGGACTTGATTGTCCCATCTTGGCCCTGCAGAAGCAGTGCGTCAGGAAGGGACAGCGCCCCCGGGACTCACAAAAGAAAAAGAGAGCTGGGGAAAAGGGACGCTGGATTTGAGGCCAGAGTCAGAGATAGTCCCTCCAACAGCCGCTGAACTTTGCTCGCTCAGGTTTAGGAGAGCAAGTGCTCAGGCAAGGGAGCAAGACCCCAAGTCTTCTGCCCAAGGCTTCTAGCCACAATGGCGGCAGCTTCTGCAGCGTCAAACAGCTAGCACAGCTCTAGCGTCCTATCTGAGCCAAATTCAGTCGCAGTTACTTCTCGAATGCTCACTTCTTTTTTACTTTTCTTATTATCAGTAAATTTAGAACCATCTCGGGTGCCCCATCACCTTTTCCAACCCCTACCGTCCCTGACCAACCCCACTCAGCGGGGTGGAACCACTGCCTTTCCGCCTCGGCCGGCTCCTACCACCGCCGGGCTGCCACCAGTCGCCCGGCCCAAAAGCAGAACGGGCTTCTAGCTCTAAGGCGGCCGCGTGAGCTCGGCGATTACCTTCATATGTTTGCGCAGAGAACTGGGGTGCGTGTAGGACTTGTCACACATCTTGCAAAGATAGGGCTTGTCGCTCGTGTGCACGTGCATGTGCTTCTTTCGGTCGCTGCTGTTGGCAAAGCGTCGGTCGCAGCCCTCGAACTCGCACTTGAAGGGCTTCTCCCCTGGTGCGAAAGGCGAGAAAGAGAGAAATCTGATTAGAACAAATTCCGCGGCTGTTTTTTGTAAATTTAGACACATGGGAGGAAAACGTTAAAAGTCAGTGACCCGGGGCTAGCACTTTGCAAGCTCAAAAACCCAGATCTTCCATAAGGTCATACATCTGCAGTTGAATTATATATGAATATGAACTACTTAAACTCTAATACAATGAGATTCAAATTTTATTATTGTTGTTAGTAGCAGGACTAGTAATATTACTCTCATTAATGGTAGTTTTTTTAGAACCCAGAGCAACAGCAGCAGGTCTAGCTGCTGGTTTCACAGCCCGAGGCTATACAGACGACTTTGAGCCGCTTCTACCCAGCTCTAGGTCTCTAAATTTCACATTCGATGCTGATTCTTGTGCTGGTTTGCTCTTCTCCCTCCCCCTACCTCCTCCCCGGCGCTCTGCACCCTACCATTGCCTCCCACTTCCCACCCCACCCCCTACACGCACTAGCATTTTATAAAGTAAGCTGGGTCAAAAACTCTGCGCACTAAGTTCTGCCGGGACTCTGGCGTTGAGCACCAAGTTTCAATAGCGGTTCTCAGAAAACACCCGGACAAACCAGAATAAGGAAGCAGAACCGACACTCGACTTCGTTGGCGAGAGGGACCTAGAATTGTCTGGCCGACCCCATAGCACAACCCTGAGCTTGCCTAGAATTTTTCTTTTAATTATTTTCCAAGCGGTGTCTTTATTTTCAAAGACCAACGGAGGGCACCTGGTGGTTTGAAGCCGCTTTGGAGAATGTAAATGCAGAAGGATTTTGCCTTCTGCCGAATCCCGACTACTCAAGCCTACTCACGGATCACACTAAAACTGGCCTCTTTAAACACACACAAGCCTTCAAAATCCTCCTCCGGCCTAAATTACTTTCTTTCCCGCCACCATCCCCTCTTTCTGGTTTTGTTTTTATTTCTATCTATGCCTCTTCATCTGATTTCTTCCAATTTTCTCACTTCCTTTCTTGGGCAAAGTCCCCACTAATATGCGTAGAAAGGGATGTTGGCTGGAAACAAACCAAACGTTTAGATTTGTCTGGAGCTGGAGCGGCTGCAGTCTCGGAAGCCGCCCGGACCCGGCACCTCTCTCCGCCTTCGCTCGCATTAAGGGTTCTGCAAGGTCGGCTTTGCCTTCCTGCTACCCTGTTCTTTCTTCCTTCTCATTTAAAAAATCGATATCCCTGGTCCCTTCTCGCCCAACCCACTCTATACTTTCTCAAAATTTCAAGCCTCCAACTGAAAACAGCGCACACTTTCTGCGCCTGCCCGCTGGACCCTGACGCCCAGATTCAACCCAGGCCCAGTTTATGCGCCCCGGTGACTGACTTGAATTTTGGGTCCCAGGCCTGCGATGGGGGAGGGGGTTCGTCTAGGACAGCGGTCCCCGTACCTGTGTGCGTCCTTTTGTGGATCTTTAAGTTCTCAGAGCGCGCGAAGACCTTGCCACAGCCAGGGAAGGGGCAGGGAAAGGGCTTCTCGCCGGTGTGCACGCGGATGTGGTTGACCAGTTTGTATTTGGCTTTGAAGGGCTTGCCCTCGCGCGGGCACTCCTCCCAAAAGCAGATGTGGTTGCTCTGCTCGGGTCCACCGACGTGCTCCACTGTGACGTGCGTGACCAGCTCGTGCATGGTGCTGAAAGTTTTGTTACAAGACTTTTTGGGGTTGGCCAGCTGTTCTGGCTCGATCCACTTGCAGATGAGCTCCTGCTTGATGGGTTGGCGCATGTAACGGAAGAAGGCTCCGGCGCCGTGATGTGCGGCCATGTTCACGTTCATGGGCCCATAGCCGTGCAGCTGCGGCGCGGCATAGTGCTCCGAACGCGGGCTGGTGACCTGGCCGTACTGCTCCGGTCGTGGGTACATGTCCCCGGAGAAGCCAAGCCTCATCTGCCCGTTGACCACGTTGGGCGATGCGTGGCCCGCTGCCTGCTCGTGAAGGCCAGGGAAGAGGAGGTGGCCCGCTGCGTCCGTGTGGCCGTGTGGGCCCCCGAAACCCCCGGCCGAAGCTGCGAACAGGCTGTGCTGTGCGCTGGCTGCAGCCGCCGCGTCCCCAAAGCCGCGGTTGCGGAACAGAAAGTCCCGCGTGGAGTTGAAGGCTGCGCTGGAATAGGAGCCGACGTGGCCCGGGTGATGGTGATGGCCCAGGGCCGCGGCAGCGGCGTAGCCGGGTGCCTGTGACGTGAAGGCGGTCTGGCCGGCGGAGGCCAGCTCGTGCGAGCTGGGGTTGAGCTTGAAGGCGCCCATGCCGTCGGCGAAAGGGTTGATGCCCAGGCCCACGTCGCGCTCGGCCACGTCGCCAGCCGAGTGGTGGCGGGACGCGCCAAAGGTGGTCACGCCGATCGCGGGGTACTGGGGGCCGGCGTCCAGGAGCATCGTGGCTGCTCCGGGCGAGCCCCGGCCTCCCCCGCCCCCCCACCCTCGCCCGCGGAGGAGGGAAAATCGAGAGGAGGAGGAGGAGGAAGAGGAGGAGGAACGGGAGGAGGAAGAGGAGGAAGAAGAGGAGGGAGGGGGGGTTGACCCACCTCGCGAAGTCCGAGCCCGCGGGCAGTGGCGCAGCGCGCCGGGGCGCCCGCCTGGCCGAGCGCGGGAACGCCGGACGGCTGCGGGCGGAAAGCGAGGCGGTCTCCGGAGCCAGCCAAGCAAACTCCGCCGGCCCGGCTCGCACTTGTTTGTCGCTTAGTCTCTGCCGAGAAGACCCAGCGTCAAGGCTGCCCAATGAGAGGCAGGGAGCATCTCAGCCCCCCAAAAAAACTTCCTCCCGGATTTGTAGCATAGAGGAATGCGAGCGCCTGAGCCGCTACAGCTCGGCCCTCTCTCTCCGCTTCACTTCTCCGCTAGCCTCTCGCCCTTTCTCTCTCTCTCTCTCTCTCTCTCTCTCTCTCTCTCTCTCTCTCTCTCTCTCTCTCTCTCTCCTTTCTCTCAGGCTTGCCTCCTCGCTCCTTCACTCTGCTTTTTCCCCCCTCTGCTTTTTGCAAAAAAAAAAAAAAAAAAAAAAAAAGGGGGGGGAGAAAAAAACGAAAGAAAGAAAATGCCAAAGAAAAGGCGCAAATCATGCACAATATTGTCTTTTGCGGTTTATCTTCCTGGGGAGAAACTTTCACCTCCTCAGCCGGGCGGTGAGCGCGAGACTGATAGCAGCAATCATTCCTGCAGATAAATGAATTGAAAAGACGACACCGTGCCCCCCTTGATGAATGGGAGCAGGGGGAGCCGTCACGTGCTGCTGACGCCAGCGCCCATTGGTGCGCCAGGGCTCCCCCCGCCCGCGGCCGCCGCGCCAACGGAGGGCGCGCGGAGGCGCCTCGCGCTGCTCATTGGCCCGCCCGCCTCATCAATCCCAGGTATTGTAAAGCGCCTGACATCCCCTTTTGACAAACAGGGCTGCCAGGAGTAGCAACTTTTTTTAGCCAAATTTTTCCCCTCTTCTCACGGATTTTTTTTTTTTTGTTGTTGTTGTTGTTGCTACAATTCCTTTTCCTTCTCGAACTCAAATACATTCTCTTTCTCCTTATCCTTTTCCATATGCCTCTCCCTCCCGCTCTCTGTATCCATCTCCCGCTCTATCACCAGCCTTATCTTTCTTCTGGTCCTTCCTCCAACCTGCTCTTAGCTGAGTGATTAGCGACTTCGGACAGTTCGTCTGGGAGACCACAAGGAGGGGATGGGGCTAGTAAACACAGCTAAGGCACTTCCAGAATGTCCCGATTCAGCAACTTTCTTTTCTTTCTTCCCCCTCTCTCCCCCTTCGAGGGCCGCAAAGGAGGCTTTTGTTATTTGCTCCTTTTGAAGTTTGCTTCACTGTTGCCTCATCCCCCTCCTGTTTATAATTTAAGATCTCGGGAGCACGCGGGCAATCCACTCGCTCTTTACATGAAATGTGGTTTCTCGGGATAACTGGATGCCTCGATTTGCGCACTTTTTTTTTTTTCCCCTTTCATCGGGCTTCTTGCGCCCTCTCCCCCCTTCATCCAAACAAACAGTCGCATGCGAGCTCTTAACTTTCTAGGTTATTGAGGTTTGTTTTTAGGTGGCAAATTGGAAACAATTGTCGATTTTTTTTTTATTTTTCTCTCCCCTGTGTTATTCTTCTAATTTCTCCCTTTCTCCTACACTCTCTCGTCTGCTCCCGCTAACCCCCTCCCTCTGCACTCCTGTTCCCAACCCCAGACCCTTTTCATTCAGGTAAAACTGTAAATTTCCCAGTGCGCCATTGTTTTCAGGACTGCTCAAAGCTCCCAAGAAATTCCCGAATACCTTTTTGGTATTTAAATCCCCAATAGATAGGACCAATGTAAATTTTGTGACATTCAAACCTTTTCTAGTTCACAAATCAGTCACCCTTGTCACAGTTATTGAAATTCCGCAACTCGCCACACCAGGACGGTGGAAAAAGCGGGCGCGGTCTTTGTTGCCGACCAGGCTTTTGATCGCCAGAGAAAATTTACTTACCTTCAGATGAGTGAACAGAAAAAGAAATAACACTCCCTTTGATTTAGTTAGGAAAATGCAGACATTTGGATTCAGTGCAAACATACAACACTCGCTTGTTTTCGCGATGCGGCCCTCGATTAACCTGTCTTTGCCCAGCGCAAAGTCTATTCAACAACTGTGCGTAGTTGCTTTTTGTCCCGTCCACAAAGAGCCATTGACTGTATATTAAAATGATTGTTGAAAGGTAGAAGAGTATGGAACTTAAAAGCAGGAAAAAAAATCTCTGTGACTCAATCAATTAAGGCAAGCAACATTTATGCATTTCAAAAAATGCAGGCGGATGCGGGGGGCTGGGACATGAGAGTTGCATTTCTCCGCATCTCTGCTTAAAACCTTGTCTGGGCTGAGGGTTCAGCTGAAGCGTCTGCATATTCATTAGGTCTAATTATTTTCTAGTAAGGAAAACACAAAAAGCCAAGAGTCGGAATCCTTCAATTTGCCCTTTGTTTCTAACTTCATTTGGCTTCTTTGCAGCTGAATCAGAGCCCTAAACTCTTTCTCAGACAAAGAAACCTCAACTCATCCTTTCACAGGCGACCGGGTTAGAAAACTCACCAATGCCCGAATGAGAAAAAAAATGAAAATGAATATTTTTGCCCAATCGCTAGTACTGGTTGCTCCGGCTGGAGGAAGGCAGGGTCCACGACTGCCGCTCCTTGCCTTTCTGGCTTTCTGATCTTTTCATCAACTAGGTTCTGCTTAGGGTTGGTGAGCTGAGCTGTTTTTCCCTGGGTTCTTCCCAACTCAAAACTCGACTTGTGTGTCTGGGATGGTTTCCTGGTGTCTAAAGGGACCTGGCCAAGCATTGTGCTTGCTGTGCTGGGGAATAGAAATTCAAGAAAGGAAAAAAAAAAAAAATGTTCTCTTCCCAGCAACAAGTCTGAGTTCAGCAGCTCAACATTCCTGCCAACTTGAAGTGGAATGGGAATGAGAAATGGAAGGAAAATGTTGGGACTTGAGGGCCAGTTGTTTTTTTTTTTTTAATATTATACATTTTGTTCAAAAAACATGTAGCAGAGCCATTCTTTCTTTTCTGCTACATTCAAAAGGAAATTGAATCCTGTTTCCAGTGCTGTTGTAAAAACCTCTGCAAGGAGTTTCTCTAGAGGCTGCACTGTTCTCACTAGGGAGAACAAATATTGAACCCACCTCTCCTGCTCTAAAAAAAAAAAAAAAAAAAAAAAAAAAAACAAGGGAGGGGACCTGAGGGGGAAGGGTAGTCGTTGGGAGGGGGAGAGGGAAAATATTTCTTCAAAAAAGAAAGTCAGTCTTCTCCTCTCCAGTCCGTGGAAAATCCAAGGGAAACAAGAGGGTATTTTTAGGAAACCCTTCCAAATACGCAGGGCAAGAGTGAATGTGAGAAAAAAAAAAAAAGTTGTGGGTTGTAGAAGTTATCAAGTGGGATTTGCGGCGCTCTCTGCAGGAAACTCAAGCGGCTCCAGTTCAAAGCCACATGCACCAACGTGACATATAAGCCATTAAAATATCATCCTGACGGCTCATTTCTGCTTCATCATACATTCCCTAACTGCTTTCCGAAAGCTGGAGAAGGAGAAATGAAGGATGACCGCCTCGCTGGAACCACAAAAGAGAGGTTTGAAGGGGTTTGTGGTCCCCCCTCAGCCACCCCAAAGTGATGTGCAGAAATGAGGCGATCCCGGCAACAGGTGGAGTGGGGTAAGTGCGTGAGTCCAGGGGACAGACAGATGGGACCTGTACCCCCAGTAGCCGGGTAGTAAGCGTCTTTATGGTGCCATTGGCACCCAAACCACACTAGGCGAAGAGACCCAGCTGGGCTTTCTCCTTTATCCCCTTCCTCATTAGCACCCCCCACCACACACACCCTTCGGTATAGGCCCCACCCCACTGACAGGGGAGGAGGCGGCTGCGGTAGAGGTGAGTTCATTCCTTCTTCCCAGGAGGGGGGAGGGACCAGGGGGACGAACGGGTCTCCCACTGGCAAGGAGGCGAAGAGCAGCTTGTTGCCCGCCAGCCTTCATTCCCCTCCCTGTAAATTGTCTGGGTGCCCCATCGCTGCAGAAGAAAGGGTATGGTGGCTCATAGTTTCCCTCGAGTGGAGTGAGCCGGGGGGTCGGCACAAGGAGGGGGGCCCTGCAGGCAGTTTCTCTGCCCTGCCCCCAGGAGGATGGCTGGGAGGGTCTCGGCTTCCCCTCCCCAGGGTCAAAAGATCCAAGTTAGTCCGGCTGGCAGCAAGATGATGGAACTTCTCCACCCCAAACTGACAGCGGATGCCGGCTAGGTCAGCAGCGGGGCAGGATCCTCGCCTTCAAGCATCTTGGTCCTGCCTCAGGACACAGACGGCTGGATCTGCTCTCTGCGCTCGCCGCCCGCCAAAGGTCTAGGACTTGGATTCTTTCTCCCGCAAGCAAACGAGGGCTTTGACTAGCTCTCTGGGGAGCAGGCCGCAGCCGCCTTGGATTCTAGGCACTATCCTAGATACCGAGGGGCCCTGAAAATTAGGGGCAAGGGAGGCGCGAACAGAGTTGATTTGGGAAAGAAAGCTAGGACTGCTCAAAAGCTTGACCGGTGCGTTGGGTTCCATGGGGGGCCGGCTAGGAGCCAGCGAGGTATTAGGACTCGAGAAAGGGAGTTAGAGGGCTGCTCCTTGGCCAGAGCTGTCCGCAGAAAAATTTCTCTGGTTTCGTAGGGTGTAATTTCTCCACGCCTTGCTCTTCTTTGGCCTCAAAGCTACCCTCAAGGAGCACCACTTTCTCTTCCTCTAGCTGCCCGCAGGTGTGTGTATGTGGGGACTTTCAAAGGGACATTAAAATGTGTAGAAAGGTCTTTCAGCCCATCCACTAATATGGATTCTAGGCTGAGCACACAGAAATCCCCCACCCTTCAGTTCAGAGCTGGGGGAACCGGTGAGCTCTGCCCTCTAGGGAACTGGAGAATTAGAAGAGGCCCTTGCACAATCCAATCTCAAA